GGGGAAACCCAAAAAGGATAATATCTACTAGCGGTGGGTTTGGGATGTTATAAATGATATCAAAGCCAGACACCGGATAGTGTTTCAGCGAGGATGCTCACCCCCAAGGGGGTGGATTGTGAGATCCCACATCGGTTGAAGAGGGGAATGGATGTGGAAACCTCTCCCTAGTAGACGTCTTTTAAAACCTTGAGGGGAAGTCCAAAGAGGATAATATCTACTAGCGGTGGGTTTGGGATGTTACAAAGGGTATTAGAGCTATACACCAAGCAGTGTGCAAGTGAGGACGCTTGCCCCCCAAAGGGAGTGGATTGTGAGATCCCACATCGATGGGAGAGGGGAACAGGTGTGGAAACCTCTCCCTAGCAGACGCGTTTTAAAACCATGAAGGGAAGCCTAAAAAGGAAAATATCTGCTAGTAGTGGGTTAGGGATGTTACAAAGGGTATTAGAGTCAAACACCGAGCAGTGTGCCAGTGAGGACACTCGCCCTCAAGGGGGTGAATTGTGAGATTGCACGTCGGTTGGAGAGGGGAACGGGTGTGGAAACCTCCACATTTTAAAACCTTGATGGGAATCCTAAAGAGAGCAATATTTGCTAGTAGTTGGTCTGGGATGTTAGGAATGGTATCAAAGTCAAACACCGAGCGGTGTACCAGTGAGGATGCTTGTCTCCATAGAGGGTGGATTGTGAGATCCCACCTCGGTTGGAGAGGGGAACGGGTGTAGAAACCTCTACCTAGCATATGTATTTTAAAACTTTGAGGGAAAACCTAGAAAAAAAAGCTCAAAAAGAACAATATCCGTTAGCGGTGGGTTTGAGATGTTGCATTAGGATGCTTTTGACCTTCTTGGAGTGCATAAACCTAAATATTATTACTTCCTTGCTAGATCTTCATTTCATTTAGAACAATTTTTGTCTGCATTTAGTTAAGTTTAGTAACAAAATTAGTCAGATACCTTTAGTAGTTTACTTCCGCATTATTTAGAGACCTAAATATTAAAACGTGACGGTTTCAGGCTGAGTTGAGAGCATTTTTCGACGTACACGATCAAGAGGGAAGCTACCCTGGAGGAGTTCATTTGGAGATGACAGGACAGAACGTAACCGAATGTGTTGGAGGCTCACGAACTATAACATATAACGATCTAAGCTCACGGTACCATACGCACTGTGACCCCCGACTCAATGCTTCTCAGTCACTAGAGCTTGCCTTCATCATCGCCGAGCGGTTGCGAAGAAGAAGACTCAAAGCAGGACGAGCTCCAGGAGGTTTCTGACAACAGCCGACAACAGTAGCCTTCGTTAAATCGTACGTAGCTAAAATGCATTCGGAATATATCTATATACGTTTTGGTTAGTGTTACACATTACATCTTAAAATGGTGTTTTGAGTGAACATAATAGAATGCAATAAATAACAATTTAGTCGTACATATTGTGTCCATTGAGAGAATACATTTTTGGATATAGAAAGTTGAGTCGTTATAGTATAGTAACGTCCTATCTGCCTTCTTTCAAACTCAATTTACGAAGATTCAAAGATAACTTTAAATGGAAAAATATTTGGGTAATTCTCATCACGACTTTGTGTTTAAAATTAAAGTTTAATTATTGTGATTTTTTATTTTTTTTCTCGAAATTTGCTGAGTTTATGGCAAAGGTAAATAACTTTCTTGTTGGAACATCTCAAGGTAATTCTCATCGGGCGCCGTCATTCTCTCTTTAGTCTCCTGGAATGCTAAACGGGTAAGTTTTTTCGTTTTTTCTCTTTTTGTTATATCCCTTTGCAAAAACTGATGGTATATTTTAACCTTGATGCATTCTATGATAATTGTTCATATTGAGTTAAATGTTTAAATCATAATAGTTCTATTTTACTTTTTATAGATGGAAAACAATAGTGCAACAATATGTGCAAGATAATGCATCGAAACCACCATTGGCTACCCAATCTGAATTTAAGAAGAAGAAACCCAGTAAATCAACCGTGTGGGATCACTTTACAAGATTAGAGAACAATAATAAGAGGTGCAAGTGCAACTATTGTTCTAAAGAGTATGTTTGTGATACTAATTCTTGTGGAACTAGCACATTATGGAAGCACTTAAAAAATCAGTGTAGGAAGTACACATACGGTGGAGGACAAAGGACAAACCACTATAAGTTTTCAACGTTCAATGAATGGAAAGGGTGGTAGTAATATTGTTACTTTCATTATTTAATCAAACAAGATGTAGAGCAGCATGTGCCAAGATGATAATTATGGATGAATTATTATTTAAATTTGTAGAAAATGAGGGTTTCAAATTGTTTTGTAGTATTGCATGTCCTAAGTTTGACCCTCCGTCAAGAGTAATCATTGCTAGAGATATATTTCAGCTCTATCTAGAAGAAGAAAAGAATGTTGAAAGATTTTTTAGTCAGTCATTCCAAGAGGGTTTGTCTTACCACTAACACATGGACTTCATTGCAAAATATTAATTACATGGTAATCACCGCTCATTTTATTGATTCATAATGGAATTTGCATAAAAGAATTCTCAATTTTTGTCAAGTTGCTAACCACAAGGGAAAGACTATTGACAAGATTATTGAGAGTTGTTTATTGGAATGGAGAATCGATAAGGTTTTCTCTATCACAATTGATAATGCAAGTTCCAATGATATAGCTATTTCATATATTATGAGAAGCCTTAGAAGTTGGAATTCACTCGTCTTAGATGGAGAAATATTACACATGAGGTGTTGTGCTCACATAATTAATTTGATTGTGAATGAAGGGCTTAAAGAAATGCATGGCTCCATTTCTAGTGTTCGCAATGCCGTGAGGTATGTTAGATCATCCCCCAAGAGATTGACAAAATTTAAAGATCGTGTTGAACAAGAAAAAATTAAATGTAAAGCACTTGTTTGTTTGGATCTGGTGACTCGATGGAATTCCACTTATTTGATGCTTGATCATGCCTTGAAATTTGAAAAAGCTTTCAAAGTATTAGAGGAGGAAGAATTAGATTATGTTGATTATTTCAAGGAGGGGATCATGGAAACAAAAGAATAGGGCCACCAACCATTGATGATTGAAAAAATGTTGCAGTGTTTGTAAAGTTTTTGAAGGCTTTCAATGATGTCACTGCGAAGATAAGTGGTTCTTTACATGTGACTTCTAATTCTTATTTTCATGAACTTTGGGGTATTTGAGAACTTTTAGTTCAGTGGAGTACAAATGTGAACTTTGTTTTAAGTAACATGAGTTCAAATATGAAAGTTAAGTATGACAAATATTGGGGCTAACTGGAAAGAATTAATAAGTTGATATTCATAGCAGTGGTACTCGATCCTCGTTACAAATTGGATTACATATCATTTTGCTTTTCGAATATTTACGAAGATGCTATGGCTAAAGTGATGGTGGATGACATAAAGAATTATTTAATTCGTTTGTATGATTACTACAAGTTTTATGATAATGCTCAAGATCATCATCAATCTGAATCAAGACTCACTTCTAAGTCCATGAGTATGGAGATGGACACAATTGATGAAGAGAATTTGAGTGGTTCAATATTAGTATTATCAAGATACAAACGAAGAAGAGAAGAGCAACATTCACTCGAGTTAAAGAATGATGTGGATCGATATTTATTTGACCCTAGTGAATAACTTGATGAATTTAAGTATAGAGTTTTATTGAAAATTGCCCAAGATGTTTTGGCCGTTCCAGTGTCGACGGTATCTTTTGAATCAACATTTAGTACGGGTGGGAGGATTCTTGATTATTTTAGGAGCTCTTTGACACCTAAAACAGCGGAAGCTATGATATGTACACAAAATTGGATCGGTAGAAAATCAGTATCGTTAAATATTCCTGAACAACTTGAAGATTTGGAGATTTGTTGAAACAGTAACTCCAAATCTATTTATTGTCTATTTGTTAAGATGTATTATGTATTGTTATATCACAATTTATATTTTATTTTTCAGATAATTTAAGACTTTCAAGTTCCACCAACGTCATGTAAGTAAAATATTTGAAGTTATACTATGCTTTATCCAAACAATCTTAAAACGGTACTAACTTTCAAGATGTTATTTATTCTTTTGTAGGAATTAAAAATGCAAGAGAGGGTTGGATGAATGTTGTAACTTTTGAATTAATTCATTGAATATTCTTCACATATTTATAGGTAAATTTATAGGCATTTTGTTGAATGATTATATATTGGGAATTAGATGTGGTAACTTGGATTCATTGCATATTTTTTATATATTTATAGGCGATAATATAGATGCAATAGAGAGTTTGATATTTTTAATCTACAACTTAGAGGTAGTAATTGTTTTATCATCTTAGGACATACAAATTTAATTTTTAAAATTTTTTTGGACCATCCCGAAAATAGAGGGTTGGGTTGGGTTGGAAAATTTTTTGGGTTGGGTTGGGTTACTAATCCAACTAACCCGAACTTTTGGGTTGGGTCAAAAAAATCCTCAAACCCAAGCCAACTCGAACCATGTACACCCCTAAAAACGATGAATATCTAGTGATGTCTCGGGATTATGAAAGTGATACTCACATAATGAGTTCAATGTACATAGAAGTGATCTATATGAAACTATGTGTATGAAAGTGATACACATAAATTACGTTAGTCTAAGTCATGATTACTTCCAGTGGAGTTACTTATTGAGTATTTTTAAGCAAGAATTATTTTTATACGAAATAAATTCGAATATTGCTTCTTCTTTATGTTTAAACGGTATGATTTAAAGTTTTCCTTAATTAATTTTTTAATTAAAAAAATTAATTGAATTATTATTTTTTTATTTTCCTTAATCTCCCACTCAAATAGTGGAAGACGTAATAATAACAAAATAATAATTCGAATAAATAAACAAAAGAAAAAGAAAAAAAAATGTACACGTCGTTCGTTACGTCGTCGTTTTACACTACTCGACGGAATAAAGCGAGTGCGCGGCGTGATTGCTTACGTGTTGAATCCGGTAGCTCTCACGTACCGAAACCTTCAAACCCGCCTCCCATGGCTGCCACTGCTACTTACTCCCTATATATTCAAATTCAAACTTCCTTCAATCAATCCATTGTCAAACGAAGATAAACAATAATCAGATGAGTTTTGGAGGAATTCTGGGTTTCGAGTACGGCATAGTTCAGGCTCCGCTTGGACCTGATATCTCCGGTCCTGAGCTTGTTGCTGCCGTCGCCAATGCCGGTGGGCTCGGTCTTCTCAGAGCTCCCGATTGGGTATCTTACTGTTTTCTCTTCTTCCTTTCTTTTCCTTTGAGTGGAAACGGAGTTTAATCTTTTTTAGAATGGATTCCGTGATTGATTGTTGCCTGGTCGATCATACTGCTCTGTTTGGATTTTGATACTTTCATTATTGATCGATATGAATGATTGCGATTTTTCCATTTTTGTAACTGCTTATTTACATTTTTTAATATGAATGCCGACGATTTGGTGATGATTTGTTATGAAATTATGGAGGAGTGTAGGGAAAATTTTCTGGAAACTACATGATTTTGGTTAGTGAATTTTTACTGTAATGGAGCTTGAAGCATTTAGGGTTTTATTTGTAACAGGAATCGCCTGATTATGTACGAGAATTGATAAGAAAGACACGAGCGCTAACGAATAAACCATTTGGAGTTGGTGTCATTTTGGCATTTCCTCATGAGCAAAATCTAAGGGCCATATTGGCTGAAAAGGTAGCAGTTGTGCAAGTTTACTGGGGAGAATGTTCAAAGGATCTTGTGGATCAAGTTCATTCTGCTGGGGTGAAAATTATTCCACAAGTGAGTGTTCTCTTGCATATCTCATTCAAGTCGATTGCTTGTTAAGGCTTCATTTGATAGCCATTTGGTTTTTGGTTTCTGAAAATTAAGCTTATAAATACTATTTCCTCTTATGAAGTTATTTGTTTTGTTATCTACTTTATGCTAACATAAGATATGAAATAAGATGTGAGATCCCACATCGGTTGGAGAGAGGGAACGAAGCAATCCTTATAAGGGTGTGGAAACCTCTCCCTAGTATACGTGTTTTAAAACCGTGAGGCGGGAGGCAATGCGTAACGGGCCAGAACGGACAATATCTGCTACTAAGGGTGTGGAAACCTCTCCCTAGTATACGTGTTTTAAAACCGTGAGGCTGGAGGCAATGCATAACAGGCCAGAACGGACAATATCTGCTAGGGTGGGCTTGGGCTTGGGCTTGGGCTGTTACAAAAAAAAAACAAAATGGTTATCAAACGAGACCTAAATCTTATGTTCGGTTATATGACTTAATGCCTAATGATATAATATGAGATTTTTCCCTCTACTCATATTGGAGTATGTTACATTTGAACAACTACTTTTGCAGATTGGGAGTGTTGAGGAAGCGAGAAAGGCCGTTGATGTTGGTGTTGATGCAATAATCGTGCAAGGATGGGAAGCTGGAGGACATGTTATTGGTCAAGTATAAAGCTTCTTCTTCCTAGAAAACTTGATTAATTCTTGATGCTCTTATATCTTTTGCTTCCAGTTGGTGGCATTAAAAGTATTTGTCATAAAAAGTATTTGAACATTCTTCTAATTTCGCTGTAATAAGAACTGATAGTATTGTTATTTGCTGCTTTCAGTCATTGGTATTACATTAGTTCTTGTGTTCATTAATCATACTCTTCACACATTTGTACTTAAACCATATCATAACTTTTCTCAAATATACTTGGTTCTTTACAGGAAGGTTTGATTTCCATCTTACCAGGGGTAGTTGATATTGTTGGGGATAAAGATATACCTGTAATTGCGGCTGGCGGTATTTCAGATTCACGAGGTTATGTCGCTGCGTTGGCCCTTGGTGCACGTGGCGTCTGCCTTGGGACTAGGTTAGTAAAGCTCAACTGTGATTGAAATGTATTTTAGAAAACTGCTAGATCCATGCTATAAATCGGTGCTCAATTAGAAACAGTGTCTCGTTTTTTAAGAATAATGTCACATGTTATGTCGAGTTCTGTCGAGAGTCACCGTATCCGTGATCCCTTTTCCATGTTATGAAGCAAAGTATGGTAACAAAACATGTTGGCACAGAAACTTCATTAATGACCTGTGACACATTCTTAAACAAATGTGTAACTTTTATTCGTCTAAGCCATGGAGAAATGGTGTTGGAGGAAGTTTTATTGATATTGATGTGAGATTTCACATCAGTTGGGGAGGAGAACGAAACATTCTTTATAAGGGTGTGGAAACCTCTCCCTAGCAGACACGTTTTAAAAACCTTGAGGGGAAGTCCAAAGAGGACAATATCTGCTAGCGATGGTCTTGGGCTATTACAAATGGAATCAAAATCAGACACTGGGCAAGGTTATTACAAATGGTATCAAAACCAGACACTGGGCGATGTGCCAGCGAAGAGGCTGAGCCCCGAAGGGGGTGGACACGAGGCGGTTTGCCAGCAAGGACGTTGGGTCCCGAAGGGGGTGGATTGGGGGGTCCCACAAGGATTGGAGAAAGGCTCGAGTGTCAGCGAGGACGCTGGGCCCCGAAGGGTAGTGGACGGTGAGATCCCACATCGGTTGGGGAAGAGAATGTAGTATTTTTTATAAGGGTGTGGAAACCTCTCCCTAGCATACGCGTTTTAAAAAACTTGAGGGAAAACTCAAAAGAAAAAGTCCAAAGAGGACAATATCTAGCGGTGACCTTTGGTTGAGCTGTTACAATTGATGTCACATCGTAATCCATTTACGAGATAGTTCAAGGCTGAAAACCTGTTTTCATTTGGTGCAATTCAAAACTTGTCGTTATCCTTATCATATTCTCGTAATTAGAACGATTATATAATCTAATGATGAAGCATATCTCATGAGATTTGAATTTTACTCCATAACTTTGTTGCAATTGTAAATTGAGTACACAAGAAAAAAATGAAATACTGCAGATTTGTTGCTACGAAAGAAAGCCACGCTCACCCTGCATACAAGAGGAAGTTGGTGGAACTGGATGCAACTGATTATACAAACATTTTTGGGCGTGCAAGATGGCCTGGTGCACCACAGCGTGTTCTACAGACACCCTTTTACGATGATTGGAAGTCACTTCCTGCCAATGAAAACGAAAGCAACCAGCCGGTCATCGGCCGTTCAACAATTAATGGCTTGGTGAGCTCCCCTTGCGTCTTTTCTACTTACAAAATGAAGAAGTTGAGAATCTTCTGTTGTGCTCTACTTTTAAATCATATATTTTTCCTGCTTGGAACAGGACATAGATATACGTCGCTTTGCGGGTACCGTGCCGAATGCGACAACAAAAGGTGACATCGAGAGCATGGCAATGTATGCTGGGCAAGGAGTTGGACTAATCAAGGAGATCATACCTGCAGGAGAAGTGGTAAGGATGCTGGTTAAAGGTGCACAACATCATATCCATACACATTTTAGTAATTTTGTTTCTTAAAGTTTGATGCTCAGATCCGCAATTTTTTTTTGTTTTCTTGAAGAAATAAGATAGAAAATCCATATGTAATTAGATGAATCATGAACTCAGCAATCCTTCAGTTTAAATAAAGTTTTCAGTTAATCCGAATTTGAAAATTTTAGTGCCCTAATAACCACTAAAATTAGCTAAATCAAGCTTAGGTGGAGATATCGATCATGATGATGATTCTAGCATGGGTTGTGCATATGATTAGAGATCATTTAAACCCCTAGAGGTCGTACTTATAGTAATTTCTTGATACAATTGTGCGAATGTTTTTTCGTAGTATATGGTATGACCTGACAAAAACTTCGAACATTTTGGCAAAGTTACAAAAGATACTCAAAACGAAGATAAATTTTAGTTTTACCGTCAAACTCTAGGCTGATGGTCGAATAGAGCGTTTGAATAAGGTTCTAAGAGGCAAGCTCAAATACAAGAAGTCTCAAATTTAGACCACAAGAACAAAATCCTATGAAGTGAGTTTTTTCTTCCATAGCATTGGTAAACAATGTGTTTAGACGTTGGTACGGAGGCATACTCTCTCATAGGGTCGATGTGTATGAAACTGAAAAAAATATCTATGCATGAGAGTGCTGTAATGAAGATCTCACTTAATGCTTAGGTATTTGTTAAAGTGATATACATGGACCTATATGTTGAACACAAATTCTCTTTGTGGAAAACACTCGCACTAGATTAAAAGACACGTGATAGAATATTATTACAATTTGCTTTGTTTTTTAGATTGTTTGGGATGAAAAATTTCGTAGTGTGGAGGGTTATTGTAATAGATCAAAGCCACCGTTAGCAAATCATGTACTCGATGGGTTTTCCTGAGTTATTGTAACAATCCAAGCCCACTGTTAGCAGAAATTTTCTTATTTGTGCTCTTCCTTAAGGTTCTCCTTTAAGGTCTTAAAGACATCTACTAGGGAGAGGTTTTCACACCCTTACAAAGAATACTTCGTTCCCTTCTCCAACGGATGTGAGATCTCACAATGCACCATCCTTAGGGGTTCAGTGTTTTCGTTGACACACCACCCAGTGTCTAGCTCTTATACTATTCACCGCTAGCAAATAATGTCATCTTTGGACTTTCCCTCCCTTCCGGGCTTTCCCTCAAAAGTTTTATAACATGTCCGCTGAGAGAGAGGTTTCTACACCCTTATCCCTCTCCAATCGATGTGAGATCTCACAATCCATCCCCTTCAAGGTCCAAGATCTTCACTGGCACACTGCCCACTATCTGTATCTAATACCATTTGTAACAACCCAAGCCTACTGATAATAAATATTGTTCTCTAGGCTTTTTTTCGAGCTTCCGTTTAAAACACATCTATAAGAGAGAAGTTTCCACACCTTTATAAAAAAATGTTTCATTCTTCTATCCAATCGACCTGAGATCTCAAATAAACGTATCTTTATTCTAAAAATATATAGTTCATACAATTATTCAACTTTTAACCCTATATGTATGATGGTGATACACACCCGAAGAATCCAACGACATAATTTAAGTCCATTCGAATATAATCATGTTAGTTTTAATCATAATGGCAGGTCTGTCTTGTACCATAAAATTGAATGAAAAATAGTTAAAAATATTATTGTTTATTACTTAAATTCTATAAAATATTTACATGAAACAATAATATTGGGAGGCATTATTGTTTGGCAAAGTTGTTGAGATATGGGCATTATTCTATAAATGGGACTCCATTAAAGCTTAAATTATTCCTTCAAAATGGCCTTTGTTGTGTGACCTTAAGCATTAGAGAATTGGAATATATCAGATTTGACAAATATCATATATTTATTCATTGTTTAAAATTTAAACATATGCTTTTTTTTTAAAATAAATTAATTAATTAATGCTATGAAGTATCAAATCAATTACCATTATTAAATATTAATTAAATAAAGTTAAAATACTATTTTAATCCAACATTTTTATTTGAACACCAAATAATAAATTTTGGATAAAATTGAAAAAAAATAGATACATCTTACTCCAATATATTCGTGGTGCATTCATGACGATAGTACAAGATTGAGGACAAAAAAGTAATTTCGAGGAGAGATCGACGTTAATGTCAGCCTTCACTTTCTCTCCAAACTATGATTACACAATTACCATGATTACCAAATATGAAATTGTGTATGTGGACAAATAAGTAATTTTTGAGGAGAGATCGACGTTAATGTGTCAGCCTTCACTTTCTCTCCAAATCATAAATAGGTAATTTTCGAGGAGAGATCGATGTTAATGTGTCAGACTTCACTTTCTCTCCAAATCATGATTACCAAATACGAGATTGTGTACGAGAAAAATAAGTAATTTTTTAGGATAGATCGACGTTAATGTCAGCCTTCACTTTCTCTCCAACCATGATTACCAAACACGAAATTGTGTACGAGGATAAATAGGTAATTTTCGAGGATAGATCGAATTTAATGTCAGCCTTCACTAGAAAAACAGTTCGATAAACATGATGAAAGGTGCTTACTCAAAAGGGCAATTTAATGAAGAACCGATGAAATTGGTTTCATACTTTTAGATTCTTAGAGGGTATTTTAGTCTTTTACATCGATCCTAATTAATAATTGAACCATTATCTTTAAAGTTCTAATATTAAAATAGACAAAAAAGTATCATATTATTAAAAGAAACGGTGAAAATAGAACATTATATTAAAAAAAATATAATTTAAGAATCATTTCGAGTAATTCCCATACTATCAGCTATTCCAATTACGTTTGAACGCCATAAATTCCACTTTCATTGTGATAAAAAGTATGGAGAACGGGTACCATTTACAAACTTTACGCTACCTGTTTCAATATCGATTCTTGTTCAAACGAACGATATATAGATTCCACAATTCTCTTTGAACGCCACAAATTCCACTTTCGTTATGATAAGAAGTATGGAGAACGAGCACCATTTACAAACTTTACGCTACCTATTTCAATATTGATTCATATTCTAACTAACAATATGTTTGAAGTAGGCATTTCATAAGAGTTTGGAGAAAAAAATTAGTCCAAAAGAAGCCACCAAACATGCCCTATTAACTATAAGAAGTGAAGCGTGGTTGAGCGTAAGCTCGGAAATGTTTCAAATGAAGATCAACCAATGTTGAAGTTCATCTCCGACCTTGCATAGCCTTTCAAACAACATAGTAGAAAATTTATTAGCTTGTCGGGTGTCACAATTGCACTCTTCAACGATTATGTAACATTTGCTTTAATAGACTAACAAGTCATTTGTATAAAAATCGGACCTAGTCTTTAGTCTCGGTTCACGTTTTTGAAAGAAAATGAATAGAAAACATTTTAGAATGAAGTATTTGAGATGTCAATTGCATTAAAACACGTAGGCAAGAGAGTTTAGCAATGCATATCATAAACATTGAAAGCAGAAATATTTCATTTAAACTTTCATGAAAGATAATATTCATCTTAAAACACACTCATGAATTTGCGTGTTTTGAAAACACCTTTAAAACGACTGAACAAAAAACTAAATAAAATGTTTTTAATTAATGTGGCTGCTCTACGCATGTGCTATCGTCTTGAGTTGCGATGTCGTCGTCAGCCGTACATGAATGTCTTACCTTAACTCGAAATGTAAGTAGCATGTAGCTTGAGTATTTAGAGAAATATAAGTGACCCAATATTGTGGTTAAATACAAACATATACAATTTTATATATGGGACCTATCATAATAGTCTGTTTTTTTCTACAGCGACTATCCTAACGGGCAGCTTGGATGTGTAATTAATTTCCTACACACGGCCCACATGTGCGAGTATGGACCCACCAGTCGGTTCGCACACCTCCTGTACCCTTTTTTTTGTCGGGCCAGCATTCTCTAATGGCTCTTAATACCGGACACCCGTTTGAAGTAGCTATCATCATAATAGCATATTTGTTATTATATTCACTAGTATCGTTAAGATCATTCTCGTTTGATATTTTTTTTTTATTTTCTATTTCTTTTCGATTTTTCATTTCGGGTTTCCCCTCAAGTTTTTTTGTAAAGAGAGACAAGTTTTCACACCGTTTTAAAAAATGCTTATCGTTCCCCTCTAGAATCTCATAAACATATCTTAGACAAGCATGACCATGACATAGAACATAGACTAACAAAGATGACAAACACATTCAAACGCACAATCTTTAGTAGTCCAATTCCTAACTCGCTCTTACCAAGGTCAAAATCCTAAACCAACTTAAACGAGACCATTCTAGTATTTTATGTATATTAGAACAATATGATCTCTTTAGTAGTCCCCCACTACCTTCTTATTATTCCATGAAAGCCACTACAATGATTATTGGAGATGGAATAATTCAACAAAACTTTACTATAAATTATAAACTATGGAAACCATTATTTGTTCAAACTTAGAGTAAAAAAAAGAAAGGAACATTAAATCATGTATAAGCCCCATGCTGTATGCATTCCTTTCCCAGCACAAAGCCACATAAACGCAATGCTAAGTGTAGCAAAGCTTCTTCATCAAAAGGGCTTTCACATAACATTCATCAACACCGAATACAATCATAAGCGTATACTCAAGTCGAGAGGCTTGAATTCTCTCGACGACTTACCGAGCTTTCGCTTTAGAACGATTCCTGATAGCATGCCTGTGGCCGACGACGACATCGATGCCCCGCAAGACCTACCGACTCTTTGTATCGCTGTCTCCAATGATTTCTTAGCTCCTTTTTGCAGCCTTCTTTCTCAACTTAACCAGGATGGTGATGATTTTCCTGTTGTTAGTTGTATTGTTAGTGATGGTTTTATGTCGTTCACTATTCGAGCTGCTACTGAGTTTAGCATTCCGGTGGCTCACTTTTGGCCGTTTAGTGCTTGCAGCTTGTGGGGATTTAGCAATTTAGGTGAACTTGTGAAGCGAGGGATTACTCCATTGAAAGGTGACCAATTCTTTGACTATTTACTTTCGTTTTAAGAAACGTTCGGTGTACGTTAAAAATTATGTTTTCAAGTACGTAGAAAGTCGTTCTAAGCGTAAAATTACTCCTAAACTTTGCACTTTAAACATTAAAAAAAAGTTTAAAAAATACCAAATTAGAGTTTTACCTTAGTTTTGAATAGAGACGATTTATATTTTATTTCAATAACGCCTCCTTTAACTTTCGAAAGAGTTTTAAAAGTTTCATTAATACATTTAATTTTTTTTAAAAGTTAAAAAAATACTTTAAATTTTTGTAAAAAGTTCAAAAATATTATTACTATTAGTATATGAACGATTCTACTGAATTTTGAATTGTTTTCAAGATATTAATAACGAAATTATTAATAACATGTTTAAAAAATACTCATGAATCTTCAAAAGTTTAAAACATTTTTACTATAACAGTAAAACAATCTAGGAGAGGTAAATAAATAATGTCTTAGAGTTTAAGAATATTATTAAAACGAAGTGCTCAGGTTTCTATCTAAACCCTAACCGTAAAGATATTTTTTGAACTTTTTTTTAATTCGAAGGAATTACTGAAACTTTTAAAAATTTAATGATATATTTTAGATAGCATGTTCACTAGTATTTTCATTAATTCAGCATGTTCTTCGTAATGTTCATGAGTTTTGATTTGCAGATGAAAGCTATTTGACGAACAGGTACCTCGAAACCACCATAGATTGGATTCGAGGGATGAAAAACATCCGACTTAAAGATCTACCGAGCTTTGCAAGAACAACGAATCCAAATGACATCTTTCTAAATTTTGTAATTCAAGAAACAGAAAGAACAGCAAAAGCTTCAGCTATTATATTGAACACTTTTGATGCATTGGAACAAGAAGTATTGGATGTTCTTTCTCAAGTTCTTCCTCCCATTTACACCATTGGTCCAGTCCATTTGTTCACAGACAAAACAAAGGAGAAGAAATTAGAAAAAATAGCTACAAATCTTTGGGAAGAGAATCCAAATTGCCTCGATTGGCTCGATTCGAACGAACCCAATTCGGTGGTTTACGTAAATTTTGGTAGCATAGCCGTGATGACAAACCAAAATCTTGTCGAATTTGCATGGGGACTTGCAAATAGTGGGAAACCCTTTTTGTGGATCATAAGGCCAGATCTTGTCATTGGAGTCGAAGATGATTATGATTATGATTATTATTCGACGATTTTACCAATTGGGTTCTTTGAAAAGACACGAGGAAGAGGAATGATAGCGAGTTGGTGTGCTCAAAAAGAAGTATTGAAACACCCATCAGTGGCGGGATTCTTGACACATTGTGGTTGGAATTCGATTATCGAGAGCCTTTGTGCGGGAGTGCCTATGATTTTGTGGCCTTATTTTGCTGATCAACCCACGAATTGTCGATATTGTTGCATGGAATGGGGGATCGGTTTGGAAATTGATAGCGTTGTGAAAAGGGATGAGGTCAAGCGATGTGTTAACGAGGTGATGGAAGGGGAGAAAGGGAAGGATATGAAGAAGAAAGTTATGGAGTTGAAGAATTTGGCTGAAGAATCTTGCAAGTTTGGAGGTTCTTCTTATTGCAACCTCGATGAACTTATACTCCAAATACTATCGAAGGATCGAATGTGAAGTTTTTGAACGTTATGGACGAGAAAATAATGGGTCGGTGTCGTATGATTAATGAGCTTGTTTACATTTGTATGAGAAAATAATGATATCAATCCATGTCGTGACATTTCGATGAAAAATATGAATAAATGTGGAAACTGAATGCATATTAATTATATGCGTACCATCTACTCACGTGCACATGTACCCATTAACCAGGCTCGTTAAAGTACTTTAAAGCCATTGAAAATCAATGGAAAATAAATGAACGTGAATAATATCTAATCCAAGCCATCTAGCAGCGTTAGGAGTCCAATAGACCTCCTCAACTCCCAGATATCATTGTGGTGACATTTAGATTATATGTTTCGTGATTTAAGTGATCGATAGGATTTCCCCAACAAGCGTGCACTAGAGAACCAAATTAAGATTAAAGCATTGTAGCCAGAGTGGTTTACATGTTGACCTAGGTCAGTACGTTTATAGTAAATATTGCACCACAGAATCATGAGCAACGATCAAAGGTATAGACCTATGTGCACCTAAATAGTGGATTAGCTCGAGGTGTTGGTCTTAGACGTCTAGGATACAAGAGACAAGTTTTAAACTTCCTAAATGTCCTTAAGAACCTAGCAGACCTCCACGACATTCAAGAATGACAAAGGTAGCCTCCAGATCAATCATTAGCACTATGTACAATGTCATCAGTTTAATGGTGCCATCAAGGGCCTCCACTATCATTTCCACTCCGGTACCAATACTATGGAGCTAGGCCTAGAATGATTAGGGTAGTGCTCTAAGAAGACTATTCGCCCAACATTGTGGAGAGCCGCGACCGTGAACTTGCCCTGAGAGGCAAGGCGTGGAGTCATACAGATTGACTCAAGTAGCTAGCAAACATAAAGGGGTCGCTCCCCCCACCTTGGGTGTCATATGGTCTTGTGGAAAGGGTTCACCAGCTAACCTCTCGTAGATGGCGAACAGACTAGCACACATCATACTATCTCCACTAGAGAAAGAGTTTTACGAGATAGCCCCTCAATCCAAGACACCGATTTAACACTACTTAGGCAAAGCAAGCTATAAGAGCATAAAAATAATTCACCCTAGAGATGAGACTTGTCATCTAGAAGACCTGCAACGCCAGAAAAGAGTGTACCGCTCGAAACTTAGATAGTAGTAGAGACTAGGCTCTTTTTAAATCATAAAGTAAAGCTCGTGGATACCTACTAGGATAAGGATATGATGAGAGCCTACTAGTAAGTTGCTTACTAAGTATTTTTGTACTCACCCATTTTCCCTTGGTTTTTTGTGATCAGGTGTTCACACGCTACCAGTTGAAGTGGAGGAATGTTGGACAATTGTTCGGTCATAGAGTGGGTCGTTCTGGAGCATCAATCTATCTTAGTTTAAGTCTTTTTATTTTGTTTGTAATTGTATCCCATACCTATTTTTATCGGTTTATAATAAATTTAAATAACATCCTCTTATATTTAGATTTGATTTTATATTTAATTTTGGTATGGTTGTCTCCGTATCTTATTTTATCTTATTTTCTTTTCTTTTGATCTGTCTTTTTATTCACGATCCAAGATTCAGAGCCTCGAAAATTGGGTTACGACAAAAGTTATAGGGGTATTGTAACGACCCAAATCCGACACTAGTAGATATTGTCCTCTTTGGGCTTTCCCTCAAGGTTTTAAAACGCATTTGTTATGGGAAGGTTTCCACACCCTTATAAATGGTGTTTTGTTCTCCTCTCCAACCAATGTGGGACATCACAATCCATCCCCCTTCAGGGCTCAATGTCCTCGCTGGCACTCGTTCCTTTCTCTAATCGATGTGGGACCCCCTCCAAATCCACCCCCTTTGGGGCCAGCGTTCTTACTAGCACACTGCCTCGTGTCTACCCCCATTCGGGGAACAGCGAGAAGACTGGTACATCATCCGGTGTCTGGCTCTGATACCATTTGTAACGACCCAGATCCACCACTAGCAGATATTGTCTTCTTTAGGCTTTCCCTCAACGTTTTAAAACGCGTCTACTAGGAGAAGGTTTCCACACCCTTATAAATGTATTTTGTTTTCCTCTCCAACCGACATCACATGTATACATGTATCGGATTGGATTGGGTTGAGAAATTTTTTTGGTTCAACCCAAAAGTTCGAGTTGGTTGGATTGGTAACCTAACCCAATCCGAAATTATTTCACAACCCAACCCAACCGCACAAAGGTGTACATAAACATTGGGTTGGGATGAACTATCGTCGACTAGAAGTTGGACTATGTCGAATGTCGTGGACCGAGCATATGTCTAAGCCGGGTCACATATTAGGCCCTTTTGCAGTGTTTGTTCCCAAAATTTCTTTAATACAAACAAAAGTGATGTTGAAGTAATGATATTCTCTGAAAAGAAAAAATCCAAACTTTTTGACTTGAAAACAGGTATGGTGAATTGGGAATCAAGCCTTCGTAGCATCAAATCTAAGCTAATATTTCCATTTCAAACACATCAAGCAACGAATCAGAACCCTATTCTTCTCTATACTTTATAGCATATGGTCCAATAAAGACGATTCCTTTCGGACTTTGGGTTACAGATCACTTGCTTTCGTTGTTCGAGAATGTTCGAAGGACTCAAAAGCTCCATGAAATCAAAACAACTAGAGTTGTTCGTGGGTCAGGTTGAGTCGAGTCTGGTTAGATCATTTTGTAGATCCAATCGCATTGTTCGGATTGTAAATAATGAACCCACTACAACCCAACTATAGACTTTCTTTACTTGAGTTGGTTTGAGTTGTTCGGGTCGCTTCTTCAAATTTTTGTTTTTAATAAAAGTAAAATGTTAGCTCGTAAAACATGATTAGTTTAGTTTAACTCAATTTAATTAGAGAGAACTCATGAACCAATCTAATTAAGTTGAATTGATTGGATTTCTGGAGTCAACATATTTTTATAATACCTCTAAAAACACGACCAGACAAATTGGATGCGTATTTACTGCTCTACACACGACCCACATGTGCGAGCATGGGCCCACCAGACGGGGTCGCACACCCACTAGACCTTCGGCTGGTTAGGCTAGCATCTTTGGTGCTGTTGTCAAACACCCATAAGGAATAACGACCGTTGTAGCGTCATGATAAACATGATGATCATTTTCCTTTTCATACTGTATGCATTCATACTCATCATAAAAGGAAAATGTTCTGACGCACACGAACATACATTTATACATGAGGTCCCAAACAAACACGTCATAATATATCATGGTCTAATATAATCATATGACAACGTATTATGGCATTTCATAGCATATTATAATTCGTCGTCACATAATATGACATTTTATTTATACTCTAATTTTACTTGGCATATCTTGGCATCTCATATAGTGAAACGTATCATAACATCAAACATATCACACATATGACACATGCTGGACTATTAACACGTGTCATCATACATAAAACAATTCGTTCAACCAAACCAATAGTAGAACCACTTACTTGGTTGACCTAAGCGCGAAGCTACTACGACCTCTTGATACTAGCTTAAGATTACTCTCTCAAATTTAATTCTACCCAAAGAATCTCACCATCATAAATTAGAATTTTACTATAAGCTCACAAAATTTTTCATAAAATAATTTAAAATTACTCCAAATAAACTAACTAAAATAATTTAAACATACTCCAAATAATTTAAATTAGCTAAAAACATTCATATTAACCTTACCTTTACAAGAGTTCGGTTGAAACTAGTAGGAATAGTCTGATCATATTTTACTCAAGTCGAATCAGTCGAAATATCGACCTAAAGCCGTAAAAAAAAATATTTTTCGACTGGGTTTGGACCGTTCAAGTAGGATGAAAAGAAACCAGGGACCTCCATTTTATAGTAAAGCCTAACTCCATACTTTTCAACATAAACAAGTGAGACAACTTCTTTTTGGGTATTACATATACTAGTCTAACCACACATGACTTCTAGTCGAGAATATGATATCTAGACCGATTAAGTTAGTTTAAATTGGTATCTAGAAATTTGATTAAAGTCTCCTAGAGTTTTTTTTTTTTTTTTTTT